TGCCATGGAAGGTGGAGCCATCTAATCATGATTGTTTTCCTGCAAAGCCTTGGGATTTGAAGCTTTTACAGGGTGGAATCTTCTTGCCCCTCAGAACCCTCACCCAAGAAATAAGAATGCAAAGAGAAGGCCAGGAAGAGAACCTAGCAGACTTCCCTGTGGCTTCTTCCCCTTCCACAAGCTTTCCCACTTAAGGGGCAACTAGAGTGGCTCAGTTAAATATTTGTTTCACCAAAGCTAACACATTCCTACAGTGTACTTTCCCCCAATCTCATTCTTAGAAATAGCTGAAACATTGTGATGGAACTTTGAAATTATTCAGATTCAGACATACTCCAGTTCAAGTCTGGTAATATTGTAAGCAACTTTTAGAGCTTTATGATGGAAAGCAACCAGAGCTATAGAAGTCACTGCCAGAACTGTAATTCTGCCAGTTCTGCCTGTTACAATAAATGTTTTTCCAGCCTTTTATGCATAAGGATGTGTCCAGTTAGGTTACATTCAATACATACATTTAAATTGGTTCTGAGTTAAGAGTTCTGCTGGTATAATTATAGTTGCAGTTCATTTAGTAATTAAATCTATAAAGTAGGGAGGATGATTTTATGGGAAAATACCTAACAAACAAGCTACCAGGAATGTCAGAGTGCTGTATGACATCACTGTGTAAACATGTAATGCCATTGTCTGGAACACAGTTTGGTTTCCAAGGTATTGGTATTAGGAAAATGGAAAGAGTTTCATTCCCTCCTGTTTCCTCCTTGGAAGATTTTCAGGGCTTGTGGCTTCATCTGTTCTGGAAGACTCTTGAAATATTTTCAGCAGCAGGGAGGAGCAGAATGACTACAGGCATTACAGGGCATCTTGGAAAACAACACAGCATCCAATGAACTAAAAGTGATGTTTAAGAGGTGATGCTTATTGCTAGCTCATTCTTGTTAAGAGATGACTGCTTAATATGAATCTCCTGGGGTCAAATGAATTGCTGGTGTATTTTTTGCTTATTTTAGTTAGGAGCTGTTCACCTCTGGTGTAACTCCACTGAAGTAAAACATGTTACATGAAGTGGACCATTGACCTGATCCTGCAATCCATTCATTCTCAAAATTCGCATTTCCACATGCAGGACAGTTATTAGTCCAGGGAGATAGAAGCCTGGACATGATCTTCAGTCAGAAGAACAGTAATGCAACAGCAATGTATGACAAGCAAAAACTTCTTAAAGTAACACTTTATCAGGTATCAGGTCCTGGCGGTATTGATCTAGAGGAAAAAGCAATCAGAGCCCTGATCACTTTTGATCAGGTCACACTTTTGATTATTATGCCCTCAAAGCAGGCATAGAAGGTCAACCCAGTCAGGTGCAGTGTTGGATAGCAGTAGACTGCTGTTCCTGAAGAACTGTGCTATTGGAAATTCTGTTGAAAAGAGGTGAGTCAAAACCAGAAAATCAAATTAGTGAATGGCTTGCTTTTGTGTCACGGGGTTTGGAGGATCGTCTTAATCATGGAAGCCATGTGTTTGAAGATTGAGTAATCCTATATGCAAATATTATATATTGTAGAACTGTCATGCCATTAATACTTATTTTGCACTCTGAAACAATAAAACCTGTAAAAGGTGCCACATAACATTATTATTATGGGGTCATTCAGTATAGTGCCCTTGGTTTATTTCCATAATTTCCACATGGCATAGAGACTAATATATACCTTGGAAATACCTTGGAGATGCATATTTATGCTCCATTCCTGATACAACTCATCCACTGTCCAAAACATCTACCCCACTTACTAGCACCTTTATAAGACCCCATTAATTACATAGTTAATTAGAGTAGAAGTGATGTGGGGACTAGATAAGAGTTCAGAATGTCTTGGTGAACTTAATTATTACATTTCTGATTTGAGTCATTTTACTTTTCACTTTAACACACTTTTATTGCATAACAAACATTTGTAATTTTTACATTTGGGCTGCTGCTGGTTGGCAATTCCCATTGGCTGCTGGACAGTTCTTTTCCAAGTCCTTCTCACCTTATTCTGCGTTTCTTTTGTGTTGTTCGAGTACGTTATATAACTTCTAATCTACTGGGAGTGCAGGAACCCAAGCCGTGGTATATGAACACAATCATGTACGAGAAGCATCATCATCACCATCACCGGCAGCCGAAGCTGCTCTCCGGTGCCACCTAGTGAAGGTGAGAGGTCTCCCAGTCTCTCTCCAGCCCCGTTACCATCACGAGCCTTGGTAACCGTGAAAGCTGATCAGAGCCTCGAGCATCATCACACATGGATTTGGAAGAAATTTGACAATTCCTGATGGGTTCATTTGAGCAGATTTCGTGTCCGGTACCTGTGTCCTTTGCGTCTCTGCTGGAGGCGTAGATGCTTCGCAGCGCGCAGCTCAGCCAAGGGCCCGGGGCTGGTGTTTGGGGGAGAGAAAAGTGGAGACCTCCCCACTGGCCTGCTGTGCCCTCCGAGCTGTGGGCACCTGCTTGTGTATCTGAACTGGTTCGTCCGGCCCGGGCATGGGACAGGGCTTCCCGCTGTGGTTTTCTTCCTCCACCTCCTTGTACTCCTCGCGTTTCCGACAAAGGGCGATGGAGCCCGGGAGGCCGCAGGATGAAAGGTGTGCAGAGGACAAGTGGGACGTGGCACGGCGGCGGTGCCTTTATTTTGGGCTCCTAGCAGGTAAGAGATGGAAATAGCTGCGAGCCGCAGTTTGCGGCACGTGGCAGAGGTGAGGCCAGGCCTCCAGGCACCGCCCTGCTGTGACTCCCCTGCCTGCAGAGGTTATTGCCGGAGCCCTCGGACGCCGCGTTGGAAGGCAGGGCCGGGCCGGGCCGGGCCCAGGGCAGCCAAGGAAGGGAACAGATCTGGGGGGGTCAAAACACCAACAGGTTCCTGCCCGCCGCTCACGGCCCGGTGTGTGAACACCAGGCGCCTGCAGAGCATGGAGCCCCCGGCGCGTCCCTGCAGCCAGGCGGTGCGTGAGCACCCGAGCTGCCCCAGTGCAGGAGGCGCCCAGGGCTCTTGCCACCTCGGCTCACTGCCACCGGCATCCCGCTGAAGCTCCACAGCCTTTCCCCTCACTGCAGCCATGGAGAGCCGGCTGCGGATCGGCCCCTCCAGGCGCTCCCGGGAGGGCCGCACGCCTGAAGAGCCCCTGAGCCCGCCCAGAACCAGAACCGGCCTCTTTTTCCTGGCCCCGGCCCGGGCTCAGGCCTGCAGCGTCCCCTGCACGCGGGGTGCGAGGAGCGGGCTGGGGGGACCGCAGACCCCGCCGCGGCGGCCCCTTGCAGCCAGCGGGACCCAGCCGAAGAGGGTTTCGAGCACGATCCGATTCCGCTCCAGCTGATGGAGCGAAATGTTTCTTCCCTCGCGCTCAAGCAGAAAAATGAAAAAGGAGGTGACTCGCAGGGAGAACCTGGGGCAGAGCTAATAGAGTCAAACCTAGATTTTGATAGCAGCGGTCTCGTGGTGCCTACCATAGCGCCCTAGTAGCCCTAGTTTTACACGCACAAGCTCCAGCCGAAGTGTGCATGTGCAGTCATGCGACTCGCAGTAACTCTGTCTTTCTACCTGGTGCGGCGTGAGGAAGGGCTAAGTTAGACTTGCCTCCTGCACTACAGAAACCACAAGCAACCCCCCCCCCCCCCCCCCGCCCCCCAAACCCACGCTCCAAAACATGAGGAGACAGTCTTATTTAATCCAGAATATAATTAAAATCTCATGTATTTTTATTGCTTTTAGTATCCAGCAGAGTGAAAATATTGAAACGCTGAGACCCCTTGCATTAAAAAGTCACAACTGTTCGATTTTATTAGTTCTGACTGTGTGAAAAAATTATAAAGACAACGTTGAAAAAAATCCGGGTTTTAGAGCCCCGAATGGCTATAAAAGTAATAAAATCAACTATAAAACGTACACCAGTGATATTAAAAAATTATGTAGTTCAGTAAATGTGACATTTCATGAATGTGGATTTAATAGTTTTTAAACTACAGAAAAGAGAAGGCTGAGGTCTAACAATGCATTTGCAAGGGGCGGTGCTGTAGAACTGCAAAATTAAGTGCTTCATTTTCCTTGTTGGGGATTATGCAGTGGTGGTGGAATGCAATAACTGTGCCATTAAAACTTCCTTTAACAAGGCCTATTGCTTGAATAAAAGTCAGAAAAGAATAATCTCTTCCTCAATTTATTTGTTTTCCAATAATACAACAGACCTCGGGGTTTTCTCTGCTTAAACTTGTTCTCAGGATTTTGAATCGACAGCTTGTAAAACATTACGGGACCCAATATATTGTTGCTTCATATCATGCACATCGTTATTCTAAAGGGCAACGGGTCATCGGCTTGTTGCACGTTTATTAAATAAATCAAGCTGCAAATCCAACACTTCCAGATGAAAATATTAGCTAAGCCGCTTGGAAAATGCAATGCCTGGGAGAATTAACAGAGAAAAAATAATCAAAACTGTCAGCTAGCTCTAAGTGTACCTGATGTTTACAAGACACAAGCACAGGCTTTAAAGGGGAGATTTGGCATTTGTTAACAATATAAAACCCCTTCTATTATTAAAAGTATATTTCTGTTGCACCAACACCTTTTCGTCTTATTCTGAACCTTCTTATTAAGCTCTTCTTGGGGGTTTGAACCTAGGGATTTCTCTTCTCCCTAGCAGCACCTGCTGTTCCGAAGTCATCTGTGTTCGATGCCCCCGGTCTGAGCTGGCCCCGTGTGTAGACACACGTAGATGGAGATGGAGATGCATGTGTAGATGCATATGCATATGATGTATCAGGGAAAGAAGGGACAGCATGATCGGCTCCAAGGACGGAAATTCCCCTCTGCAGACATGCATTAATAATCCCCCCGTTTCCCGGGTGTGAGTGGTACCAGGCCTGCTGACACAGAACATAACCCTTCACTGCCCTGATTGGTGCAAAGAGCCCGTGGCAAGAAGCGGGGACCGGCGGGAGGCGGGCGGGCCGGGCAGCGCGCCTGGCACGGCTGCCGGGCACAGATGCCTGAGGAGGGAGTGGCATCCCGGAGGTCGCTCCGGAAGGCGAAGCGGGCACCGCAAGTCCAGACCTCTGGGCTGCAGGCCGGCCCCGGGCTTCGGAGGGAGCGGAGCAGCTGGAGAACAGCGGCGCGGAGGCGGAGGTAGGTGGGGCGGC